GCTCTGATTTTAATGATGTTTTTATTAGTCATTCCCCGACACTCCGTTTTCGAGGTAATGCTTTATATATGCATACATTTCAAAACAACTGTTTCAGTTATATTATATTAAATGTCTGATAACTACGTCTCCCGTTGTAAAAGCAAATATATAAATAATACATTTCATAATTTTTCAAGCAAGCAGTAAGAATGAAAAAAACAGGATGTCCAAGTTTCAAAGGATACAAACTCGTCAGAAACACTTGACTTCGAAAACCCTTCTTCTATTACGTATTCCAAGCAGAAAAAATTGGTACAAATGATATCAACATTGAGATTTCATCCAACTCCGAGCAGGCACATAAAGTGAAGTTTCGAACACCATCTCGCCCTCCGAGGTTCCTCCAGCCCCTCTTTCCTCACTGCGATACTTCCCCGTCTGCAAACTCAGCAACTCGCCAGCTCCATATTCCACGGGGTGGGCGGTGCAGGGGACGCCGGCGCGGCCGGGGCGGGCCTTGACTTTATCTACGATTCGGGGCGGGCGAGTCGGCTCCCGGTGGCGGCGGTGGCGCAGCATAAAACTGCCGGCGCTGGTGTCGGTGGCGGCAGCGGGGGCGGCGGCGGGGCCGCCGGGAGCAGACCGCCGTAAACCGGACAGTTTAATGGGGAAGCTATAGAGCTGTCCGGCGGAGACGCGTCTCGGGTTACCCGGGATGGCGGGGTGAGCGGCGGGTGAGCGGTGGGTGAGCGGCGGGTGAGCGAGTGGATGGGCGGTGGGAGCCCGTCATTGGGGAGGGTTTGGGAGAGATTTTTCCGGGTTGAGTTGGAGGGATAAGGGGTGGAAATAAGGGAGTGGGATGTAAGGGAATTGAAAGGGTAGATGGTTAGCGGCATAGTGAACACCGAAGCAGAATGGATGATGATTAGGTGCAAGTGAGAGAGAGAGAATGCAGCAATCACTGGGTGAATATAGGAAAATATTATTTTCTGGTTTGCGAAATGTAGAGTACGTTTGCAGGGGGTGTGAAGAGGAAGAAAAAAAGATAGAAAGAAATAGTTTGTGTGTATGCATGAGACTGTGTGTGTCTGTGTTTGTGTGTGAGAGAGAGAGACAGAGAGAGTCAGAGAGACAGAGAGAGTCAGAAAGACAGAGAGAGTCAGAGAGGCAGAGAGAGTCAGAGAGAGAGAGACAGAGAGAGAGACAGAGAAAGAAACAGAGAGAGAGACAGAAAGAGAGACAGAGAGAGACAGAGAGAGATAGAGATAGAGACAGAGAGAGACAGAGATAGAGACAGAGAGAGACAGAGATAGAGACAGAGAGAGATAGAGAGAGACAGCGAGAGATAGAGAGAGAGAGAGAGAGATAGAGAGATAGATAGATAGATAGATAGAGAGAGAGAGAGAGACAGAGAGAGAGACAGAGAGAAGAAGGAACAAAGAGGAGAAAAGGTAAAGAAGTGAGAAGCTAGAAGTAGTAGCACATGAACGTATAAATTGAAAGCCATAGTTCACGGAACAGATAATAACCAATTAGAGCTTCTGGGTGGTGCATCACGAGCGCAGAGACGAGAGAGAGCGGGGGGGGGAGGGGGAGGGCGGCCGTCGCGGCGTCGCCGTGCGGTGTCTGCCCGACGCGTTTATAGGTGTGACGCGCGTGCCCCGGGTAGGCGCGGGCGTGTCGGCGTGTCGGGTGTCGGGTGTCGCCGCGAAGGGCCCGGGGCTTAGAGGCCCACCACCCGCCTCGCTGACTGCCTGCGGAAGTTCGGTGCAGACTCGTGGCCTTTACAATGGGTAAAAACCGAAAATGGAGAATTATTTCACGAAGAGAAAAAAAATCTTCATTGTCAATACGATTCATAATCTTTTTAATTGTTTAATTAATTTTCTTATTACCTAATTTACATTATGCAGTTTTATGAACATCTTGAAAAATTCTAATCTGCAATTGAGTTTAACTTTGCACATGAGGCACTAAAATAAATTATATTGAAAGTGATTAACACTTTTCAGAAAAAGTACGTCATGTTGCACCAAGCATTTTTTATTGCACTTTTTATAATAACGCGAAAATTATTCGTGGTATCGTATTAACATAATGAGCTAATCTTAATGATATCACGCGTTAGGAGCAGCGAGTGAAGATTACGAAGGGAAAGAGTAAAACATACTCTGCAAAAAAGGCTTCCTCGGGCATCATTTCAGCGGCGGCGGTTTCAAATTTCGCCAGGTGGTTATAATGCTCAACTACCATATAAACCTCGCGAACATAAACCGAGCGACGTGATGGAAAAGCAGAAAAAACATTCGCGCCATTCTCTCGGGGTTACCTCTCATAACTTTTCAGTCCGCCATTTCCTGTAATTACGCTAGAGTGCGCTTATATTATGCGACGAGTGCAATAACAACCACAGGAGCTGGCGCACCGACTCAAAAAAATATCAAGCTGATAGCGTTGTTTCTGAAATTGAGATCGTAATTTTTTTACCTCGGCATTGATATTGCAGATTCCCCTTTTCCTGAAGGGAAATACTGAAGGTAATTTGTTTTCATGAAACGTGACGATAAAAGAGAGCGCCATAAGGAAAAATAACAACAAAGGAAATGTAATGAATTTCGAAAATTTGTTTTGGATGGGAAAATGAGCTTAACTTGACAGTTGTATCTTGTTTCCAAGCCATCAGTTTCGTCTTCATTTTCTTCATTAAAATGGATGCATGTTTCATGAAATTTGTAATTCGTGAAAAAAATCGATCGATTTCCACAATGCTCAAGGAAATAATTGTCTATAATGATATTCTAATCGTTTTGGAAATGTTAATCAGCTCCAAAAACTATGCTTATTCAATACCGAGCAATAAAACATATTTTTCTACCTCGTCATTAACAAGATTCCCCCTTCTTTTCAACGTATAATAAATATATTCTTCCATTCCATTGACCCATTTCTATGTGATGTTATTTATCACGCCATCAACCATTGTCCAACCACCTTTCGCTTTCTCGTTGCCGCGTAGTATCGATTGCCCACGTGCATCGATTGACGCTGTCGTGATCCGGATTCACGGTCTCGTGGCCTCCGCATCCATTTGCTGCATAACCACCGCCCTCACGTGCTGGCGGCGCCCATCAACGGCCGGCAGCGGCTTTCGGCAGGTCGCGAGGGCGCCGGGCGGCGGCCGCTGACCAGGAACAATCGGAAGAATCTGGCGGTCGCCGCCGCCACTGCCACACGTTGAACCGGCTTCTCATTCTAGAGGGACAAAATTAGTTTATGCTAAATGCTTTCGTAATACAATAAAGAAACGTCCTGGATAAGTGCAGGAAATGTTAACTACCATAACAATTTTATTATACACCAAGAAAATTGGAAATATGTTTCAATCAAAATATGTTGTAAATGTAATAACATGAACAACACAATTTTAAAATTTGTAACAGAACACATTTATTTCAATTTTCCCTGTTGTAATGAATCAGAAAAAGAGTAAAAAAGAAAGAATAAAAGAAGTGTGTGCCTTTCTTTTGTTGTTGGAAATATTAGGATGTGTTTGAAAATCTTCCAATTATTGAACTATTAAAAAAAAGTAAACTAGTCCACATATCCAATCGAATTACAAAAATGTTATAACATTGGCATTTTTAATTGTCCAGTTATTAATAAATATGTATAATCGTAGAGTGTCACTGTTAATAAATAACATTACTACAATATTTAATACGCATGCTTGATTTGTGTTCATATTTTCCTTTTTTGTATTACATTCGCGGAATACTTTCGAGAACCTCGTGAGCTCTATTTCGTCCCGCTACAATCCTTGCCCCTGGCAGCACTTGGAGGGGCCCTCCATTCGATCCGGCTCAATTATCGGTTTGTGCGCGCCGACATCCGCCGCCGCCGCCCTTGGGGCGGTAGTGAAATTCCGGTCGGGCGATAACGCAACAATGCCCACGCGCGACGCGGCCTAATCACGGGCCACCGCTGCCTGCCTGCGCTTCGGCGCGGCGCGGCGCGGGGGCGTGTCGCGTGGACGGCACGCCCCCTGGCCTTCGCTGCGGCGTTCGACTTTCCCGCCGCGGTGCGGTGGCAAACCTGGCGGGTGATGCGGTGATGTTTTTGTACAATCCTAGTAGGAAGTAAGATTATTGGAAGTAAATTTTAAGACCATGTAAGGGATTATGTCCAATGTGGAGTCTTTTTGTACATTGAACTTTGTACTGCGCAATCGAAAGAAAATAAATAAATGAATAATACAGTGATTTTTAGACGAGGAGAGCCGGACTCGGACATTTACTGTTGGTGGCGGCCTGTGATGGTTGATGGCTCTTTCTGTCTTTCGTTCGTATTCACCCCTTGAGGGGACGTTCCCATAGCAATTCTGAGAGTCTATTGATAGTAGCAATTAGAATTTAAAAAATCAACGATTTTTCAATAAATTTTATCTTTAGATTGATATTTATTCAAAAATTGATTGTCTTTGTCTTATTTTCATTTATTTTTTATTAATTCTTCTCTGTTTCTTATTCATCATTTCTGGATTAAATTCTCAAACAGGTAATTTTTCAGCAAGATGAATCTATAACTATTTCAAGTCTTGTACTTCCTTCCTTAGGTTCCTTTTCGTTTCGATTTTTCTTATTTAGTTTCTACTGTTTCTCTAAGTTTTGATATTTTCTAGTTTCTACTTTGTTTCTCTACGTTTACTTCCAAATTTATCCCAACTCCAGATTCCCGGCTGGACCTCCGCTTGCAGAAGATATCCTCTCGTCCACTGATGTTCCTTCGGTGCCTTGTGGAACACCACGAGTAACGTGGCGTGCGGGTGCGTGTGTTGCAGGCGCATGTTCCCGACGTTGCCGCGTGTCGTTCACGGGCGTGCGCCCGACAGCCGCTACGCCCGTGCTCATGGAGCATCGCTGCCGGTGCGACAACAAGGCTACCGTTTACGCCTACCCACCCTCGTCGTGGCTGGTGCGTTCAAGGGCGGACCCCGCCGGCCGCCCTGCCGCCTCTACGTGCACCCGGACTCGCCCTTCACGGCGAGCAGCTGCGCAAGCAGGTCGTCTCCTTCGAGAAGGTCAAGCTCACCAACAACGAGATGGACAAAAATGGACAGGTGAGTTACACAAATTCTACTCAAATTCAACTTACGAAACTTTCTTATCTCAGGGGGATCAGAGTAAACGATGAGCCAATTACCTAAATGTAAATATTGTACTATCTCGAAATCATGCAATTTTCCCAAAGTAAGCAAATTTTCTGAAAATTAAGTTTATTATTAATTCGCAGTTATTTGATTTATTTAGTGAATAATGCTATAAAATCAGCTAGGAATAGGCTTGATAATTGCACTCTGAAGTTTAATTTTTCTGCTCCTGATTTGAGATTTTGTGATGTTCCACATAAGATTCAAACTCCGCTTGTTCCACATTATTTGCTCATTCTTCACACATTCTTTCGATGAAATAACATATTTAGCAGCCATAACATCATTCTTTTGTAATTCCTAGTACAATTGTCAATTGAACCATTAATTCGAAAACAAAAACGCTCGAATGAATTTTTAAAAATATGGTTTAATCTCTTCCTACTTTTTATAAGACAAATAAAAAATTGTTAATAATTTAAAATCATAGAATATATTTAAATCATTGGTGTATTTTGCAACCAACGTAAACTTTAGAAAAGCATCACTATTGATTTTGAAATGAGTTTTTTCTTCAATATCTATTATTGAACCAAATTATATTCGTATTTTTTCATTTGAATATCTCATCTATTCCACTCTATAATAACTCAATTCTCCATTATTCAAGTACCTGCTAATCGTCGTCCGTTTAATACAAATTACGAAGACTTCGCACCAGTTATTAGAACTCTTTCACAGTAATTGCATCCGTCGATATAAAACGTGAATGCAAATTCCAGGGCCTAAGAGGGGCAATAATCGTCACGAAAGGCTAGAAATTTGAGCCACAAACAGAACGCCTGCGCCAATTACGACGCCACTAAAATTGTCACCTTTCCTTTCACAATATCTCGATCCCCGGCAGTTTACACGTAAAAACGTAGCAGGCAGCATGAGAGCGCCGAAAGCAAACTGGCGCGAACCTCTTTGTTTCGTGGTCATCACCAAAGAAAATACCCGGGTGTACGTCTCAATTAAGCGCGTAACTACCCTCCAAACAGGTGACTTTCCTGCTAGTTTTTTCCCGCCCCGACCGCGCCATCCTCGGTAATTTGAGCCCATAAATCGAACTGCGCCGCGGACCCGGCGGTCGGTGTCCCGAAAACACCGCGATGCGCCCGTTATCGCTACATCATCTTGGCCGGCGGTATGACATTTTATGCGCGCTCATTGCCGTCCCTGTGATTAAATTAACGGAAATATAATTTGGGCACCCGCGTACCCGTGAGCGGTTTGCGAGCGGGCTGTTTAGATTACATCGCGCCTGCCCCCCCACCCCCACCCCCCACCCCCCCTGCGGTGGGCGACAGCCTGCCGCCCCGAGCGCGCGAGGGAACGCGATCCGCGATACGCCCCCCCCGCCCCCGGCCCCCCGGCCATCAAACCAGGTGTCAATCCCAGACGCCCACGCGGCCCGAGGCGCGCGCAGGTGCTGTAGGCCGCAGTGGCGGGGGACGGACGCGGACGGGACGCCGACGGACGGATGGGGCGGCGACGGGACGGGACGGGCGGCGACGGGACGGGACGGACGGACGGACGGGACGGGACGCGGACGGGACGGGACGGGGCGACGCGGACGGGACGGGACGGACGGACGGGACGGGACGGGACGGAACGGGACGGACGGGGACGGGACGGGACGGACGACGGACGGGACGCGGCACGGGATGGGATGGGACGGGATAGAGTGGAAATTGCCGGACAGTTAGAGGGAGAGTATACTGCGGGGCTGAAAAGATAGTTCATGAGTGAATATTGATTCCGCCTGCGCAAAACTACTTAGGTCATTAGTGCGTAAAGATGGAGTGCGCAGGGCGTATCCAGTCGATCATTTTTATGTGTTTGGGAGGCAAAATATTATTTTTTATATAGTACATAATTCTAACAAATTATTTAAATAAATTTGGGAATAAAGTCACTGGTGCTACCCGAATTCCCGTGTGGTATCCGTTAATACCCCGAATTAAGAAATAACCCAATTAAAAAATATTCTTGGCGTTGTTTCTTCTCTTAATTCATATTAACAAATTCGAATCTTGATTGTCACAAATTGCCGTCGTTGGTCCACTGAAATCAGCATTTTTTCTTCCCCTGATGGATGTGGCGACAGTAGCCCCACGCAGAGAAAACAAATCGAATAAAATTCAGTGGTGCAGCAGATACCTTGTGTACTTCCATATACGAATTAAAGGAAATTAATCAATCCACTATAAAAATTATTGTGGGGTGTTTGGTGGAAGGCGGTTTTTTTTATAATGATTGATTATTTATTAATTCACATTAACAATCGAATTTATGAATTTCACAAATCGCGGTCGTTGTCCATTTAAATTCAGCATTCGGTGCCACGGCTGCGTGGATGTGGACCACTGTAGGTCCCACGCAGAGAAAACAAATTCGAATAAATTCAGTGTGGCAGCAGATACCTTGTGCGTACTCCGATATACGAATTAAGAAATAATCAATCCACTATAAAATATTGTAAGATTTGATTATTTCTTAATTCCACATTAAACAAATTCTAATTTTTGAATCTCACAAATGCGGTCGTTTGCGCACTTAAAATCAGCATTTCGTCCACTGTGCCGTGGACCCTAGAGCAAAC